TCAATTTACATTTACATATAAATATACGTTCGGAGGAAATATAATAATATCATTACCATATAAGCTTCGCGCAATATACACACACACACAGGACATAATAATATGTGCGTCTCGTTTCCCGCGGCGAATAACCGCGATGGATATTATCTGAAAATAAAATTACGAATCATTATAATAATATGACGTGTTCTCCTACCTAGTTACTACCTGCCGACCTACCCATCTATTGTTTTGCGCGCTATAAACTTTCCCGTCTAACGTATGTACAAAATATTATATATTATGTACCGTCTACTGCGAAGTACAAGTTTGCGGGTATTTTGTATGTATACCAGAGCGCATTGAACAGACAACAATATACATGCAGATGTATACGATTATCTTTAAAGTTTATGCCAGGTACTTTTTTGTTCGTTTGATGTATACTTTACTTATACTCGTCCTACCTTATCTTACTATCTATGCATACAATTGTCGGCGCGATATTTTCGTGGAAAATTATAGTTACTTTTTTAATGCATACTTATCACGTTATGCGCGACGAGTAGGTATGTGTGATAATATTTATGTGGATCCAACTATACACATGTTATAATACACACGATAATAGTTTAATACGGCTCGCGAATATTAAAATCAGCGTAACAAAAAAAAAAGTAAACAAGTAAATACATTTCAAACAAATGCGCGTGTTATTTGAATTTAAAATTATATTTTTTTTTTCTCTTCAAAATTGTTGGTAGAAACAAGAAACAGTTATTTTTTCGATCACGTTTGTTCGCTTTATTAACTTAAAATTTCAGAATATACAGAGTAACGTCAACTTTGATCCACTGGCCGCTCGTCCGCCTGCGGTATTTTCTCCCGGACCCATTTTAAAACAAAAAAAAAAAAAACCAAATAACATCGAAACTAATAAAAATATAATATCTTCTGTTATAAATATTTTCTGATTCGAGTTTGTTTTTGTTTGAAGGTGTCGCGGACCCGAGAACGTTAGTTGCCGAGAGGACGGGATCGTCGTGGGAAAACCGTTACTTGAGTAAAGAACACCGCCGGGCCGGAGCGACGTTTCAGGGAAAAGTGTACAATTTCTTAGAGAGGCCGTCCGGGTGGAAATGTTTCGTCTACCATTTCACCGTGTAAGTACTCACAAATAATAATACATTTCAAAATGTTCGTACAATAGTTTTATTAAACGTACGATAGACGTTAGGGTGGCCGTTATTTTAGGTATAGGCACGAAGTTTTTTTATTTCACATAGGTAAATTGTTAATTCTGTATGCTGAAAAACGCTCAATATTGTATAGCCCTATGTTAACACATTGACAGGCATTACTGCTATATCAGTAATATATAAAATGTCAATACTGCCGAAGCAGTTATCTTTTCAATGGTATAAAATCTTAGAAGACATTGGACTGCCACATTACGACAGTCCACATTGACAATTTATATACATTTTGGATGTAGGTGTAGCACTACTAATATAACAATAGAAATCGTATTACAAGTGTCCGTCAATGTGTTAATATTAACCTACAATACGAATCATTTACACCAAATTAGTAATCTAAATAACCCGTGGTGGTTTTTATACGACTAAAGAAGAATGTAGCTCAAGTTTACATTCAGGGTAGTAGGTTTGTGTATTAATTCGACGAGCGAAACCGGTAGACTCATCGAATTGTCTCCCTATTTGTTATTTAATTTCATGTTTGAGCATTCAATGATTCTAAATTTCCGTTCTAAAAAGTTTGATTTGGTTTAGGTTGATTTAGTTTCAAAAAAAGTGATCCCATATCGTAGTGAATTAGGTAGTAAATTAATACAGATTTCATGAAAGATAAATGTAATACTTTTAACCACGGCAGATAATTGTGGTTTTAATCACTGTTGCTGATAACCGCAATGTTCTGGTATTATTTAATCTTTGGTAACATGGCACGGAAACACGATAAAACGTTGTAATGCATGAATTGTGGTGTTCGGTCATATTTATTATTTTGGCGTGGTAAGTTTATTTTTAAACTTTCGTAAAATAAGTTATCATGAATACATTTTGTTACAAATTTAGATCAATTTCGGCACGGGTGAATATTGAGGTAGGGGTATGTAATTTAAAGGTGTTTTTATTTGCAGCATACAGCAGCGACAAATTATGCGAAAGAAAAATTTCGTGACCAAATCTAAAATAATGTCCACCCTATCATAGACACATAAAACAATTAAATAGTGGACTCATTAGTGAGTAAAATGGCGTGGGCTGTTTTATACAAAAAAGGCATTTTTTTTTTTTTTTAGATCAACCCATAAAATAATTGTTTATGCCGTGAATTAAGTTAATAATAATTAATAATTATACAAATAAATAATTTATAAGTAAAAATAAATAAATGCGTCGTCTTAAGTATTATGATATGTGTATTGTACGACTGGTTTCGAATTAAAAATTCATCATCAGATAAATCGCAAAGTTGAAAAGTAAAACGCGACTCTTTTTCACTCCAGACAACGCATCCATTTATTTGTTTCTACGCATAAATTATTTACGAGTATTAACCATTTAAAAATTTTGTTTTTACTTTATTATTTTATTAATAATATATAATTTGTGATGATATAAAAATATTTGTAAAACATTGTTTCCATATCGTCACATAATTCAATGTGTATAGAATTATTTTATGGATAAATTAATTGAACTTGTCCTTTTAGTATGTGACTGCCGACTTCATATCTCTCTTAAATAACTCATCATATAGGTAATCGGTTTCACGTATTCATGATTCATAGTATTTATGTAGAATATACGAATAATACGGAAACGAAATCACATTATAATCTACCATGCCGGTTTTAACAAACTATTATTATCCTCTAGAAATGTATCTCCGTGCTCTTAAAAGAGGATAGTATAAGATTAGTTTGTGTTTTCCGGAAGTAGCTCTTATATTTACCGGTTTTCGATGAGTATTTCGCTTGATATAAAGAACCTGTGTGTAGCTATGTAGTATTATACTACGAGTCCATTAAAAAAAAACGCCGAGATTCAGGTAAAATATATTAGGAAATGTATTACAGACCACCAAAAGTGAATAACACTACCTACATAATATAATATAATATTATAGTTTAAAACTAGTACCGAAATGACAATGTGACGAATTCAAAGGAGATACGACGCGCTTGTGCGTGTATGTATTTTGAAACAAACGAGTTTTTTGTTCGTTATATCCGTGATCGCTTATAATATTACTGTATATATTATGTTCGGGAGACTGCTAATATTATCGCCCTCCACGTTTAGGAAATCACTATCCCCCCCCCCTCCAGTCTACAGTGAAAATCGGGCGAGGGGTAAAAAATATCCGGTGACGCTGGTACATGTTTTATGGTTATATCGTATTAAATATATGACCGGGTAGTTTTACGCCAAACGCCATCGCATTGACGTGACGCAGAAGTAAGTATACTGTATATTATAATGATATTGAAAACAGGGTTTAAGAAGGTGATTACGTATATTATTAAGGTCGTCCAATGTGCATGGATATAGCATAATAATATAATATACACCGAGTTAATAATAATATTATATCGAGTCGAAAACGGTATACAATTAATCGTCGTTTAAATCGCGTTTTATTAAAATGGTAATAAACAAGGAAATTGTTTTACAGTTTCAGCATATTTAATAGTTTTGCAGTGTTATGATACGGAAGTATATCATTTTATACCCACTTATAATATTTTATATACGTACCTATATACGGTTGGATAATAATCTTACATTTTATTATGATTATACCCAAAGGTTTTTTTTTTTTGTTAAAAACCTCTTTTCCCTTTTAATACTCCGAATCAACGTCGATAAAAAAAAAAAAAAAACAAAAAAAAAAAACCCGTACTATTTCAAAGATATCGGTGACAGTTTTCCAAATTTTGTAAAATCTTAAATTATTTAATTTTACATTTCAATGACTGCCTTATTGTTAAGTTTTTTTTTCTCTAATTTATTGACCGATATTTATTTAAGGAGAAGAATTGAAAGATTTCAATTTTTATTATAAATTTTTGAAATTATTTTTATCATGAAGTAAAGTCAAAATATTGGAAGTAAATTATTAGTAAATATAATGTAATTATATAATAATTATAATAATATAATTAAGTATATAAGTAAATTATATAATGAACATTTTTCAAAAAAACAATCCAATTTTTAAACTATTTCAAATAAAAAAAAAACCTAAATGATCATATCCTGTTTTTATCTTGAAATCCATCAAATACAGTCCTTATAGTTTTACTGTGTGTCTTTGTTGTCTAATTCAACTTAACTATACACCGTTACCAATCTCCCTAAAGATTATAAGTTTCCCTGTATATGAAGAATCGTTAATTTTAGCGTAAGATAGCCCTAGCTGTTATATCCATTGTTTCATTCTACAATTCAATACTCTACAATTGATATCATATCTATGTACATCCTAGATATAAATGTAGTTATTTAATTAATTATTTATGGGTTAACATTATTTATACCAAACAGATCAAAATTTTACTTAAATTGTTATTTATCGGATTTTTTTTTTGACCAGGAAAACATTAACTGGTTAAACACATACTCGGCTATATATTTTCAACTTTTATTTAACTAACTGTTTATTATATCGCAGTAAGTATTATATAAACTTATGTATAGGGAACCCTCATAATATTATATCGGTGAAGTCTATTTGTCGAGCATCTACACTGAAACTATTATATATTATACAGAACCCGTACCTATATCAAAGTATATTTTATTGTTTTAAACACTATAGGCGTTCGCGTTATTATCATTTAAAACATAAATTATTGTTTGTATATGCTTATACGCGTATTTAGTTTTGCTAAGTTTTGCCGTGAAATACGCGTATTATAAACCTTGATATTACACACGTGAAAGTAAATCTGTTACGTTTTTATGGTTAAACTACTGAACTAATTTTGGAATGCAAATTTAAACCTCCTAAACAGAAACCCAAAGACCAAAGGGCATCTGCAGCTGAAATAAAGAAACATGAAAGGAATGAACTTGCTTTCAGCGCTCATGAGAAAAATACCAATACCTATAAGAATAAGAGTATGGTATGGTTCATTTACTCTGGAACATTGGATCACATGACAAATTAAAGAAATATGTTTAATGAATTGACCGAACTAGAGAATCCAATTATGGTAAAAACAGTGAAAGAAGGTGCGTCAATTTCAGCCACACATGTAGGCAAAATAGTCCTAATGGGTTCCAATAATTGCATCACAATGTCAAATGTACCATGTGTTCCAAATTTCACACACAAACTAATATCAGCAAAACGTCTAGCAGGGAACGGACAAACAATTAAATTGTACGATCAGAAGGTAAAGATCTATAAATATACCAACTTGATCGTAGAAGGCAGGGCCTATTGTTAGGTTAGGTTAGATTAGGCCTATATTGTCGTATTATTTATGTGTAATACGCCACATTGCGTGAAATACTAAATCTGTTGTGTGTAGTATGAAATTATTAAATGTGTAGTATGGAATTCTAAAATAAATAATGTTAGTATTTTATATTTGTCTAACAAATTTAGAATAAGTATATCAAAGAGATTTGATCAAATACAAAGTATTTTAAAATTTGTTATTTATTATTATGATGTTTTACAAAAACTTGTTATTATAATGCTTGTTATAATTAGTTTACTGACTTTGAAAAAGGAATTAAACCCAGAGGAACGTTATTTATTTTAAACGAATTTGTTGAAAAAATAGTATATAAATAAAGTACAAACTAGGTGACATTATGTAATTTTTTTTTAAGTTTATTTGTATATTTTTTAAGAACATTACTCATATATTTCTCCTTGATAAAATTTAAACTTGGAAATATGTTTAAAAAAAACAAAATTATAAACAACTATAAATGGTAGACAAATTAGTAAAATAACTGTATTTAAATGTATAAGGGCAAATTTTATTTTGCGACCATGAATTTATAATCTAAACTAAAAAGTGTGTAATACAAAATATTACAAAAAAAAAAAGACACTGGAAGAAGGAAAGATAAGCGATACCAAAGAATGTTAAAAATCAAAAGCCAACATAGAAATCACTGAAACTGCAAGTTTATGACATAAAAGGTATAGTCAAGTAAACAAACCCAATATTATTCGACTGCTAATTGAAGATATGATCAGTGAGATTAACGTAATAGACATTTTAATTTTACGAAGTATTTTTTTTTTACGTAATTTTTGTTCAGTACATAATCTCTGTATAAAATTGTTAGAGCAAACAGATATGCAAGAAAATTTAACACGAGGTTTATTTTAAGTCGGATTTGGTAGAAAAAAAATTAAAAAATCACGAAATGTATTATTTTTAAATCGTAAATATTAAGGCCTTAGAAAAAATGTAAAACCAAATTCTGCTCAGAATTGTTTTTCGTTAGTAAAAATTAATCGTTGTGTATACATTAAATTCTCACCTACAACAATGACTCACCCATCATGCGAAGTAGGTCCATAAAGTTAATACAATTTATAAAAAAGTTAAGTAAAGTTAATTAGTAAAGTTTATACATTTTGAAAATTTTCGTAAAATTCAGGAATATTTGTTATTCATTTTTTAGTTTAAAACTAAAGAAATGAAACCAATTTGATTTTAATGTAGGAACAAAATATTTATCTGCCAGCTCCACATTATAGGAATCGTATTTTGTTCGCAGTGATTTACTGTTGCCTATACCCATTAGCAACAGTTTAAGTTATTTATTTTAAGCTAACCTAGTAGTCTGTACGAGGACCAATAGGGAGAATTTTTTTTTGTTATTGTGGTTATTGAACATTATTGCGGTTTTTCTATTATTTACGATGATTTTTAATTATTTTCTTTAATTTTCGACATTATACGGACTATATTGATTCTTTGAGATGACACGCCGACATATTCTTGCAGAATTTCACGCGATGACACTGATAGGAGACCTAGCACACAGTATCAGCCTTAAATTATACAAGTTTTTGAATTTAATATTATAATATTTTAATTCTATTATCTTCTTATCAATCTAACTAATATTTTTTAATTTTTTTATATTATAATCAAAATATTTTTCATTCATCGTGCCTCATCAAAAATATTTCGCCACCCATAAGTTGGGAAACACTGCTCTATCGGGTAGGCAGTGAACCTAGCGGCAATTTTAACTATAGTAATGTTTTAAATCTATTTATGATAGGCGGGTGGGTGAAAGTGATTATACCTTATTAATCCACCTTGGTTATTCCTATAGTGAATATATATTTGAATTCTTGTGTTATGCAATTATCTATGGTACCATAGATGAAAAAATGTATGATATAATAAAACACTTTCCGCCTTTTTATTTTTAGTTCAATATATTGATACGGGCAACGTCGGGTGAGGGACAATTAGAATATATATTTGTATTATATACTATTAATATATCTGTCTACCTGCACCCATACCGTTTAATTGATTCTACGGCTATTATGGATTATTTATTAGTTGATTCCCTTATTGTTGTATATCAGTAAGCCTATTTTTTTTAAGCCCAACAGAAGTTATCGATTGCTTTACTGATGAGTTGACTAACAGATGACGAACTAATCATTTGCAGAGTTAGAATGTGCAATTTAGAATAGGAAATATCTCCAGAAATTCAAATTGTTCAGGAGAGACCGTGCTCAAGGCGTTTGCTGGGTATGCTTTCGCATCCCCTACAGTCTGCGGAGCAGTTTTTTGTTCTTTACTTTATTTAGCAAGGTATTTTATAAACCTCGTTGTAAACAGTCATCATTTAAGAATTGTTGACAGTTAATCGTACAATTTTTTTTAAACCTTCATCATGGCTATATATAATAGCCGATTTTTATCTCAAGTACATTTTAGTGATGATGGGAGTTGGGAATCGGGATCTCACATCGACGCCAGTCATATAACCATTCATGACGTTACCTTTCAGAGTTTTAAATAACTAATAACCATAGAGCAGTTTGATAACATTATTTTCACGAAAATTATCAATATTCTCATCATTTTTACTAGTAAACATTAACTCTGTCGTGAAATTTTATAGGTATGTAAAAATAATTTAAAAAAAAAAAAATTCTGGTTTGTGTCTTTAAGAAGTTAAAAATTCATCTATTTTGAAATATATCTACATGCATCATCTGCGAAAAAAATTACCGTAAATAAGCCCGGCGACGGTTCTTCCGATGAGGATTGTTTCGTAACTGCTTGAATACGGTAGTATTAGAAAACTCACGATTATCGGTATAAATTAAATTTGAAGCGCTCGTTTCCTTCCGATTTTGTCCGTTAATATTCCAACTATAAGCATGCCAATAGAACTTACGAGCGATGAAACGCTAGCTAAAAAAGCAAACAAAAACAAAAAATTATGAAAAATAATAAAGCTTAAAGCAGGAGTTGCCAAACTTTTCCAACTAGTAATCAATTAAACATATTAATTCTTGACTTACGCTAAGATTATTGACATCTTTTTATTTAGATTTCGGAAGTATTATTTATGTTTAAGATTCTGGGTGGAGCGAAGAAGCTAATGGTTTTACACAGGTGTTTTTTTTTTCTGTGGACAACTTTTCTACGAGAGAAAGATGGTTTTTTGATTTTTCAGGAGTTTTATTAACAAATGTGAAAATACCTGAAAAAAATGTAGGAAAAATGAGAAAATGTATGAAATGTATGTATGAGTTAAAATATATTATGGTCTTTTTTTTTTTCCTGTGAACAATTTCTCTACAAAAAAATTATTCAAGCAACGTCTCATAGATTTGAGTAATTCTGAGTACTTGCATACTTTGAAAATTCCGAGGTTTCATAAGTGCTGAATATTACAAAAATAATATTTTATTATCCGATTATTTACAACGCGATTGACCGACAGTGGTAAAATTAATTTTTATTACGATCGACCTATATTCCTAAAAAGATCGACTAGTCGGTGGTGATTGACTGATTGGTGACTTCTAGCTTAAGGTATACAATTCATTATCATTATTATTAATATTACGTTTTGTTTTTTTATTCACATACCTATTATCTATGTATGAATATCACAGAAGGTCGATCAATAAACGACAGAGACCGGAAAAAAAAAATATTATTTTTAAAATAGTATTCCTACCTGAACGAATTTTACGTCGAGAATATAGTTCAAGATTGATAAAACTATTGGAAGGAGAAAGGACTTAAAATAATGCGTAATCTTTATACTACGGATAAGAATAACCATGGGGAGATACAAAATTATCTAATATAACTTAATTATATGGTTATTGATAATATTAGAGGGATCTGTTTGTCCGTGTATGATTTAGATGGAGACTGTGTATATTGAAAAGGTGTGAAAATGTACACATAGATGAGAATGAACGGGTCCGATACGCTCGTCAAAACTGGATGTACATCCCTTTTTTAGTTCAACCCTTAAATTGTTATAAAATTCTGGCGTTTTCCTATATAACCAGCTAGGATATAGCCTATGCAAGCAAAAATTATACATGAAAAAACGGATGAACGAATCGTGTGTTCGTCGAAGCCAAATTTCCGAAAAACAACACCTAAATCGTGTCTGTAGCAGGGTTTATTGTATTTTCGAAATTAATATTGGTATCTTTGTTTGTTGTTGTATGTGGTTTTTTAGCGAAACAAAAGGTTTAATTTGATAGCTACGGGCAAAAGAGTACTCTTGAAAAAAAAATAAAAATTACCGGGAAACAACGGTGAATTGTGAATAGGAAATAGGAACGGAGTGAAATCCGGGATGTAAGTTGTTTTTTTTTCTGTTCAATACTGTGTACGGTAAAGGCCTTTAGTTAGTTATAGAAATCAGTAGGATGATTAGTTAAAGGACAGCAGAAAGGACCGAGAAAAAAATATATTGTGATCTAAATTTCGCAAGCAGGAGTAATAAGTAATTGTTCTTAGATTCGGTTTTCTCAGAAAGTCATGTTCACGGATCAAGGACGGTGATATATGAACTCGATGTATTTACGATTGTACATTTATAAGGTATACACGAGTTTTAGTAGATAACCTGTTACTAGTATTATTAGAGCTTGATGATAATATCGAAGACAAATTTTTGAGATTTTACTTATACAGCAGAGTGTCCCAAGAAGATATACCAACTGTAATATCTCCGGAGATCATAAATACAAATATATATGTATATTAAATCCTGTTTTACATTCTGAGTGGAGCGAGGAATGTATCGGTTTTACAATTTACAATACATTTTTGATTTTACAAAGAGATTCCTCAATGAATATGAAAAACGAGAAAATAGGTACAACATTAAACAAATATTATTAAATATATAAGTATAATGCATATGCAATTATTTTACCATAAATGATATTTATGTTGTTGACAAAGCAACGCTATCAACTGAACTCCACTCAAAATCGTTTTTTCATTAACAATGGGTAATCGTTGCTTACAGATGTACATTAAATTATCCTAACAAGTAGCTGCACCTATCCTCATTACCCTAGAACCACTTTTTTTGTATATTCCTTACAAGGATAAGGACTACGAATATTTATACATAATATAATTGTCACTAAGTATAATTGGCACTTCAATTGTATTCCTATGCATGCGAATGAGAAGAACATGTATTTCGAGTAAAAAAAAAAATATCGAGAAAACGAGACAATATAGATAGGGTATATTAGCGTTGATTTCGTCGCTGCATCAGCACATCGTTGTAAGTAAATTTTGAGTTATTTGGGAACCAGATTGACCAATTAAAAACAGCGGAAAAAATTGTTAAAATATAATTGTTTGAGAATTTCACTTACCGATCCAAGATTTTTCGTTAGTGTTCAATATTATCGGCGATGTTGGTTTTCGCAGTTGTGTGAATAGAACCGGCGAGAACACCAATAAACAGCCGTGAAAAAAATTATTTTAGGCAATTAAAATCATTATGAATATCTAAAAAAAATAATATTCTGAAATCAACGTAATACATAAATTATAACTGGTAGATTGTTATCGATTATACTCACTTGTTTTCGTAAGATGATAATAATCAAAGACGGTAATATAAGATTATAATCTTATGTACGAAGTGCGCGTACCAAAGTAAAAATGAAATTGTTTTATTTTGAAAAGAGCAATACACAGATGGACCTGTTGGTTATAAAAATGTATTTAATATTGTCAATTTTACTATTCTAGAATATTTAAATTGAAACAATAACTAACAAAAAATGGACAATAAAAAATGTAATACGGCTAGTCAATTCTCACTATTCAAAAAGAATTGAGTATTAATATTTTGAGTTATATGATGTACAAGCCATATAGCTTGCGCTTATATGCGCGTGGAAATAATTAAAGTTGATAAAAAAAAAAAACGAAAAAATTAAAATAAATAAATTACGCTGTATTATGCGCGCGTGGAAATAATTAATTGTTACAAAACCAACAAATTATAATAATAAACATTATGGAAAAATATAAGTGAACATACAACCAAGTTTTAGCTAATTATACGTCTAAAATATCAAAAAGTGAAAAAAAAAATCAAATTTTAAATCAATTGTTTTCGCGATTGCAGAAACGAAATATTCACTTGAATAAATTAAATTAATAATACATTATCCAACTTTTACACTAGAAATCTTGCACCGAATTTCAAAAATAACATATTTTCGGAAAGAAAATGTCGTCTGGTTAATGTTATTTCAGAAATATTGGAAATAAAACGAATAAATTATTTTTTTTAAAATACCTCTGAATTATATCAACATCAGTATCGCTTAAGAGGAAGGTAAGCATTTGTTGTTTCCGTCTTACAAATGCACGATATAGTGAAAACTTGCTTACGCAGACTACACAGAGCTCACTTGATTTTGGTTGCAGAGTAAAAATTCCTATTGTAAAATCAGAAGATAACATTATTCCGGAGGGCAAGACGTTGTGTTTTTTCCATTCAACATTCTCTGTTCAACATTTATAACTTTTTCAACGGTTTTTTGATTAGCTAAAACTATTAAAAAAAATCACTTTTTTTAAAAAAGCAACGTCTTACTCTTCTGAATATTGTTTTTCTTTAAATTTTATAACGGATGCTTTTACTCTAAAACCTAAATCAAGCGACGTCTGTGTAGTTTGCATAAGTATGTTTTTATACTATATCTTTTGTTTGTAAAAAAGAAAAAAAAAATAAATGCATGTGTAAATGAGGATGCACATCTCGATACATCCTTTTAAGCGAAATTGATGTAGATTTAATTCAGTCGTATTATAAAAAATAATTTAATCGTTTTATTTCCAATATTTCTGGAATGTTGCCATTGTTCCGTATATTATTTAATACGTATCGAATTTTCAAATATCGACCCGATGACCACATTTCCCTATTTACTTAGCAAACCAGATTCAAAAAAGAATATATTTTTTTTATTTTTGACGATATATCCGTAATTCGAATACAATATTATAGTGCATCATATTGCTGGATGCGCCGTTCGTATGCTGTAAGCAATTTCAGTCATAGCAGTTGAAAATATTACCTTCAAAACGGTTACGAAAGTTATCTCTTTCCCACGTTTCCTGTTTAAACGTACCATTTGGAATGTTATTATTTAGTATGGCGTTTGAAATATTACGAGGATAGTTGAAGCTAATAATTTGACACGGTGTTCAAACATAATTCTTAAATAATCTCATAACGATTGAAAAGAGAAAAAAAAACAAACATAAAATTTGCATCGAATCATCTGGAAAAATCGCTGAATCATGATACGAAAACAAAATTCACCCTGTATAACAATGTTTGAAACTCGGACGGTGCCTGTCGCCATTAATTTTTTATGACGGTCAGACACGTCCCAAGAATAGGACAACTGGGACATCCGTGTACGATGAATATATGTACATCCGACCGGCCCTCACATTTAAAACCTCACCCCGCCGCCGCACAAAAGTGAAAGATTTTATCTTTAGTATACAAAAAAAAAGTGCCGTCATAGTAAAATTCATTATAATTTTTTTAATCAATTTATCTTCGTAGAAATAATAATAATAATACAAAATGTTTCTCGTTTCGTACCTACCCAGGGTATATCGGTATTATTCCATTTCATTTGTTTAGTATTATTCGTATTACGTATACAATCCTTATAATATTATCCGATCGACTTATCGAATGAATACATTTCGCTCGTACGCATAGGCATAAGTAAAGTAATACTATTACGACCGGCTCAAAATATCATATACGAGCAACGTCTTATAATGTTAATATGTTCGAATGTATCATTTTATTTTTTCTTACCGTCGATATTTTTTTACCTAATTAAAAAATATAAATCTAATGGTATTTACACATGTACAAGTATTTCTATACGTGTAATTCGACTTAAAAATTTACCTACGTTTGAGCCACCATCTATGGCCTGCAGTATTCCTGCTCAAATTAATTTTTCTCGTAAATAATACGATTTCTGTAATTTAATAATCCGTACGGTCATTATTGACTTCGTCCAGATTAATTTATCGATTGGGTGATATCAATTATTACAAAAACATAGACACAGGATGGCCACGAAACAGGAAAAATAGCATTTAAAAATATCAATTCTTATTATCCATTCCGCTACGTTCTTAAGGCTTTTAAAATCAAACTGTGCATTGACAAATTTATTATTATAACGTATTTATGGTTTAGTTTTAATTGTTTTTTTTTTTTTTTTTAAACGACCGTAAATTGAATAAATCAAATATTAATAAAAAAAATGGGTGGGTTATGTTGTAGGTAAGAAGTTGTGAAGATAGAGGGAAAATTTAATGCATATCCGGGTGCAACGATTAACTATTGCTAACGGAAAACGATTCTAAGCGGAATTTGGTTATTATTGTAGCTTTGTTATTATTATGTTATATATATTTTCTTTAAAGATATTTGTTTCATACTGTACCAATTTTCCCGGATTTTCCCATTTATTGGAAACATTTCTGAGAAGTCAAAAAATGACCTCCTAAATTACCACTCCAGTCAGATTCCTTTTCAGGAAAAGTGCTGTAGGTACCTGAAAATCGGAGCCAAATGTATGGTAGAATAGCTGTTCACAGATAAAAAAAAATAAACATCATTGTAAAACCAATACCTTCCCCTCGATCCGCTCGGAATTTAAAATGTTTTGAGATGGTCGTAGGTGGCGACTCTACACTATAATATATGTTTAAATACAAAACGATATTGTTCCTCGGTTTTAAAAACATTCAGAATATACTGTATGAAATTAAAATTGGTCGTCGACAGCTTCTACATTTTTGCCGCACAGACGTCGATTTATTGTTCGGTATCGTGCCGAAATTAATAATAACAATAGTGTTGTAAAACGACGTAAAAATAATTCAAGGTATACGCGCGAAACCTTAACGCTCTACGAGGTGATCATTGTTATACGCGGTCGCTAACCATTAGAACGACGACGTTTGGTCAGCCGCTCCACGGTTAAAGTTCCGTATGCGGTCTGCGTTTTTTGGTATTCCTTGTTGGTCTATATATATTTATACATTTAATACAATATTACAACCTTAAGGACAGTACGGACCGTACAGTCAGCGATTTTGGAAAACAGCCGGAATCCGATTGCGCTACGTGACCGGTTAAAATAATGGAATACGGCAAACAACTCGGTTATATGACGGTTGTTAAAATCGCGAACAAGCGGAGAAGCAATGGGTAGAGACGGGGAGAGTCAGAGAAAAAAAGAAACGCTCTTATTTTTATGCGGTCGATTTTACCCGTCAAAGTCACGTTTTTAATACACTGCACACCGGGGCCACACTCACTAGCAAGAAAGTTGTGGCATGTTTATTTTTTGTTTTCTCTTACCCGCGCATTCGGCAAAAACGTTGAAACAATTCCATAGATTTAGAAATATTTAATAACAACATATGCATATGTACCCCGCTTGTGTATCGTGTGTTGTGTTTTCCGTCGTGTTTGTGTGTGTCTATGTATATTGTTGCATCAAAATTGGCCTTACGGGGTCTATCCCCATACATATATTATACTATTATAGTTTCGCCTAAATAAATATTTTAATTCAATTATGTTTATCGAAAATGTACGTACCTACGCGATATTAGGTGCGCTGCAATGTTTCACGTCAGGAAAGGGGAGGTTTTCCCTCGGGGAATAACCCGGAGAATTTAATTCCGTGTTGCCGTGACGTTTCTACGGCATAGTAAAACGCGTACCTACCATCCTTTGTTCCGTGGAAGCTGATTTGTGGCCACTGCGCGCGCGGTGTTTCGGGTTAGCGAAAAAAAAAAGAAAAAAAGCTGCGGAGATATGACGGTGTCTTCTTTGAGAATGTGACGACGAGAAGGTAATACGTATATGTGTATAGATACCTAGGTAAATAATAAAAATGTATACTTACAATTTAAAAAAAAAAAAAAAAAAAAAACGTGGAAGTGATACCGCGAGTCCTTCCACCCTCATCCCACCCGGTGCTCAAGAATACACCGGAGAAATCCCGAGCGATTTCCCTGTTCTTATTTTATACATACACACTGCAGACATGCGCTATTTCGGTGTAATATTCTATCGCGGGGAAGGCTTCATCAACATATTATCCGACTCGGCAAACGTATAAATAATAATGCTGCAACTGCACGGAGTCCTAGAAAGAAAAAAAACCTTACAAACGATTACAACTTTTTTTTTTTTTAAACATTTTTTATTATTATTATTATTAGTTTTTATGGCGTGTAGCACGCAAATGAGACCGAGATATCGCGTGTTCATTATTATGCTCGCAATAGTATTTTTATGTGCAGCCGACGTCGACGAGGGCCGGGCGAGGTGGAAGGGTTGTTGGAAAGCGGCCTGACTAACTAATATTTTCCCAGCCCATCTCGTATATACCCTTCGCCCGTGTTATTTGGTAAAAAAATAATAATAGTAACAATAAACGGGTACTCTGTTTTTTTCTCTCTCTCTCTCTCTCTCTCGTATTTTTATAATATCCTGTTTAATGTCGCGGCGACCGTTCGAATGCGAACGGGCTCATAGACGCGGCCGGTATAATAAGTCGGGTCAAGTGCAGTGTACATTATAATATAAACTTTCTTCACACTTTCGCGCATACTCCTACCTGCGGCGGATCTGTGTATACATACTCCTATAACGTTTTGCATAATGCACGACCATAATATAGTTTTATCCGTATTTAAATGCATTATATTATATTATAGGACACGCAGTATATAGGTATAGTTATACTTTTAGCGTTTTAGTTTTCCCGCATTTTCAAAATGATATTTATGTAAAATCGTTTCGTTATATATTGATTGCAATAATAATAATAATAAGAAGAAGAACAATGTGGTATGATCAGTGATGCACTTTAAAATATCTAAACAAAGATTAGACATGATGATTAAAGTGTATACCTGCTGCAAATATGGCTCACAATTAAATTTCGACAAGCAATTTATATTGCAATTTATTTATCTAAATATTTTTTTATCGATTATTGTATAACAATCGTAATGAAATAACTGCAACTGTTCAGAACTGAAAAATAAAAATAAAAATTGTCATTTTAAAAAAAAACAAAAAAATTATCATAATTGGAACAACCAATCTAGTGGTTATGGAATCGCATTCGTTGTATTTTTGACTAAAAATCCGTTTTGGTTTTGGATCTGTGAACCTTAGTCTGTGGTTCAATGAGTACTTACTACTTGCCCATTTTAATGAATAGATATAGATAGTTAAGTATTAGTATCAAGTAGATAATATAGAACTGGCACATTATAATGTAGATTAAATACGGTTTTAATTTGTTGAGTTATTTAAAAATAAAGATAAAATAAAACAAAACATAAGTGTTATTTTTTACAAAATATACACATATATTTTTTTACTTAGTATTAAGTCTGCAGTAAACTCTTTCGAATGTGTACGATAAACTACTATCCCGGATTATACCCGCGATTTTCTTGAACTTGAATGAAACCCGTGATTCTCCGAGGTATAGTTTTTAATTTACTCGAACAATATATCGGCTGGCAAAGGCATCCATTTCAAAAACCGAAGGGGAGGGACAAATGGACAATGTAAAATGTTTAGTTGCATTTTTCAACGATGTTGACCCTTTTGTTAAACTGTTTCATGACGACCATACGTAAGCACGAAAAAGCCATGGGCGAATGTCTTGCTCAATTGCATAAGCGCCAATGCCGGTCAATCCATACATACATATTACTAATCATTATTTTACACTAAATGTTTCTGTTTCACTTCAGTAATAGTAGACTCTAGAGGTTTGTGAAACATATTATTCCAAATCGAATTTGTAAAATTATGTAAACATTGATTAAAAACAATTCGTGATATAACGAATTTGAAGTATGTAAATCTTCAATACGTAAAGCGGTTATTTCCTGACATTACCGGCATGATAATAGTTCTCTATAAACGCTTTTATACGAGTTGCATAACTGTAACTTCTAATATTTTTATTGGCATGCTTACCCATTTAAATTATTTTTTTTAATTTATGTATTTAAAAAAGTAATTTAAATGAAATTTTTGTTCACCTTATAACGTGATAAAATATCTATGGCTTTTTATTGGCGGCTACATGCTCTACGAAGACTTTATTCACGTTTCTCAATATTGGTATTCCAATTTTTTTTGTTCAATACCGAAATTCTCCGGTTTTTAATTAAAAATTGTACTTTTACTCGGCCTTTTTTCTTTTTAATTATTCGTTTTAATAGATGGTTTACGTCGAATGGATTTACTTAATTAATTTGAATACCGATGTAATTATTTAACGCCCTATAGCACGTCGTTGCCTGTTGTTTGTTACACTGACAATAACACGCAAACATCCTAAAAAAGTTATAAAACATAAACTGCATCAGTATATATTATGATAAATTGCATGTTTATTTATACATACGGGGTTATCCGTACATTATTATCACAGTTATGTTATCACAGACATGTTAGTTTTACATATTATTCATTACATTTTATGGTTACCAAACTTAAATGAGTAGACTTGTTTAAATAATTTGAATTTAAAATTAAAATTACTGTTTATTTTAATGAATTGCATATGATTTGAATTTTCTTTGGCATTTACAGTGAAAAGCATTCCATACGCCTAGACGAAATATTACCGAAAATGTTTACATGCAGGAATCGGTTATACTGCCGTCAATAATGTAAATTATGTAATGTGATTTGTTTGAAAATTTAAAAAAAAAAAATGTTTACAGTATAAATTATAAACAAATTCTAAAACTTGATTTAAAAAAAAAAAATTCAAGTACCTCCGCTTCGCCAAATTACACGTAGGCATTTACGTCTTACGGTCTTTCAGAACGCGTCGACAATATTATGTTTTGACGTACTTCGGCATCGACTATTGTTGCATGCTATCAGTTACGAAACTATGTTACTGTACAAAATATGTGTACCTATTTCATATTTCAACCATCATCGACCATTATTATCGATTACTCTCATACGCGGACCTATTTCTGTATAATACAAATACCGATATCTTTAATTAGATTACCATGTGTTTGAGTAATTTTTCAAAAAAAAAAAGTATTTAAAGTTGTATTTTATTGATTTAATATTTAGTTACTGAGAAAATTTACCGCTCAAACAAGATGACGAAAAGATTTAAATAAAAGATTGAAATATTAAAACTGACAAACGTTTGTCTCAATTAAGTGTAAAATATGTAAAAATCATACTCGGTCCATTAACTTTACTGTCTTTATTGGCATTGCGTTTCCAACTATTAAATGAACAATTATTAATTAAGCCCCGATAATTATTACGAAGGCTCTAAACGTATGCATCAGTATGTGGTAAATGATTTATTTTTTTTTTTAATTAGAAAAAATAATCCCTACATTCTCTATCCATATCTTTTTTTCTGATGGATATCGAAAGACAGATATATATCCCCAATTGGTACGTTATAAATACTAAGGACCTAACCTAACGGATACAACGATACTGAGAAATAAATACGATTAGTGACGGTAACAGTGGTAACGGAATTTCGTCACGGCAACGATAGGAAGTTTCGGACGAATTTTTCAGATTGACTGCGAGCCGTAAAACCTAAATGTTTTCTTTTTTGAACTTAAAGTGTGTGAAATATAAAAATAGAGTTCACACTATCTCGGGAACTTGATCTTATTCATTATAAACGACTTTAACATGCATCTCGTGTTTAAAGTTAGTGCATTATAACAATGGGATATAATATATTTAGTCTGTATAACAAGGTTTCGGTTTAGTTACTGTGTCGGCGAAATATTTGCACCATGGGAAAGTTTCGAATCCGATTAAGAGCACTTAAACGTCGTGTATGACTTCAAAAATCTACAGGAAAACAGTATTAAAATGTAATTGGTATTTGAGAAAATCATTTTAGTCACAACGTGAATATTTTAAACGGAATTATAAAGGAAAAATACGACTTTTTTTTTACACTAACCGATATTTTCTTAACCTTCTTAAAAAAAATATCATTCGCTTACTGTTCTTATATCTCAATTGCAAATATTATTTGAAATGTTTACATTTCTTTCTTATTTTTTTTTTTTTTTTTTTTTTTTTTACCATTGACATATTATTATAATTTAATATTTTTATAACTTATAAAAATATAAATAATAATTATAACAGTTGTACGTGTTTCGTTATATTTACACTATGATTTATATGCTAATGGATTATTATTTAATGTCTGACTTTAATTTATAATTTAAGTAATTTGTTTTTAAGTGTTGCGTATTAAACTTATACTTAGATAAACATATTAGCGTTGTTCATTTTTACAAAAAGTGTACATTTTTCTTTTACATAGAGTATAAACTAGGATTCGACATCTATACATCTGATGATGTGGCTGGTGTGAGTAATGTATTTCTTATTGGAAATGTAGTAAAAAGTGTAAACTCTATGTAAAAAAGTATACACCTTTTGTTAAAACGAACAAAGCTAATGTTGTAATAGAATTCTCTTCCCCATCACAAGCATTAGTTTACAGAATGAGTAAATTCAAAGCGTTGATATTTGTATGTGCATATATTTTCATTGGTTATAATTTATAAATAAATTATATTTATTATTTACAATTTTATTTTTTTTTATTGCATATGGTTTCGGTGGAATGTTTTGTTACACAATTATAATAACAATGTACACAAATATACAAATTTAATGTATATTTTTTTCATCCCCTTTACAATTCTATTATATTTACATTGTGATATAAATAAGATTTTAGTCACTCTCGAGTTCAATATTTTTACACACGACCGTGTAAATACAGTGCGAAAATTAAAAAAAAAAAATCCCGTTTCGATAATTAGTTCTTTTAACTTGTTTCAATACTAAAGGATACATAATAATACTGTTAAATAGTCTAATTGAACATCCGCAATATTTTCAATCCATATACAGAAAATGTCTTTAAACGTATTTTTTTTCACCTGTATCCTCATGTCAATGTTATACTCATTTAATTTATAGGGTCCATCACAATTAGTATTTTTTTTCCAAAGAATATTTTGTGTATATGTCGTTGGCCATATGGAAAATTAGTCTTTTTGCGAAAAAACTAGGCTCTTTGCAATGAGGTAGCCCGTTTGCAAACTACTTATTATTTTTCCAAACGGACTACTGTTTTTCAGGCTTATAGCATACAAATTAACAACAGTTAGGCCCTTTAATAACTACAATTATTATGTAGCAATAACCATTTTAATTATTAAGTAGATTGTAGACCATTAGACACTCAAAATATAATTTCCAAAGTCGTGGACAAAAAAAATGTAACACAAAAAATCCACAGGTAACATTAAGTAAACATTTTACTAATTTAAACTTCATTGATACTCACCATTGATGGAGTTTATACCTTTAGAATAAAATAAGTAAAATGGTTATTACTATACATTGATTGTAATTTGTAAAGGCCTAACTGCTGTTAAGCTGTATGCAATAAGCCTGAAAAACAATAGGCCGTTTGGAAAAATAATAACTAGTTCACAAACGGGCTATCCCATTGCAAAGGGCCTAGTGTTTTTGCAAAAAGACTAACTTTGCATAGGTCTACAACATATATTTACGGTTTTGTCAACGCGTATCCGTTAATGGTCTATTGACGTAAGCATTATTAGCGTATAGTATAATGAAAAAAAAATAAATACAAAATTATTCGTTTAATATATTATACCTATACAATTATTATTGCACTGTTGGGTTCCGTACGGGCTTAGCGTTCTTCCGCTCTTTCGGGGTCATGCGCAATTATCAGATTAGTCAAAACCGTTCGTTTCGCACACTTAAAACTTTTCCCCTTCAAAGCCCGTTACTCTCTATAAAATGATTCTGTATATAATATACCGTTGTGTCAATTAACGAATCGGGTATTTTCTCCGGGATTTTAACCAGCATAAATTGAATATGGTTATTTATTATACTTTTCGTTTAACAACAAATATACACAATTTTCTGCCCGTATATTATAGTCATCGTATATATTGTAGTCACGGCCGATCTAATTGTGAGCGGAGACAATGTAACAGCGTATGCGGTGGCGGCGGCAGTGACGTGATGAAATCGTGATGGAGTCGTTGGTGTGTCTGGTGTGTCTCTTGATCTCACCGTGGACAGTTATCGATTGAACGAAAATTTATTTCAGATTGCGTATATTTTAGATATATATATATATATATATATATATATATATATATATATACTATACGATCACCAGCAGCATACATTGCGATTTGTTTACGATTTTGCTTTTTGTCAACATAATTATTATGCATATACCTATCCGCTCACTCGTCACGGCGTGTTTGAATAAATTATTCTAGAACTTTGTATATTTGTTTTGCTATATGATGTATTTTTATTTCTGTCCGGCAAACAACTTTTCGACCAGAAATCCAAATTGGCAACGTAAAGCGGTTACAATTTTGCTCTCTATCAGAAATTTTTCTCTAATTTCATATTTTTACGATTTTCAAATCATTCTGGTTATTTTTTTGAAGTTCCTTGAAATTTTCGACTTTTTTTTAGTTTTCAATTGGCTTTATGCTGATAAAATTATTTAATAAATATTTGAAAAATGTTGATAAATAATACAATTGTTACATTATTTATCAAGTTTTACACAATAGTAAAAAACTTTGAGTATAGTCTAGTAGTTCCTTTTTTTGTAAAGCGTTTGATGTTCAAATTTTGACAAAAGTCGTAAAAAATACTGCATTTAATAATATGTTTAACCAAATTTCGCTTAGAATCTCATTTCATCAACAATGATTTATCGTAGTCTTCTGGTATAATGCAAATAAATTGATATATCTTATTTTACTTAACTTCTTACGCACAAAAGTAGTACTACGTATAGCGATATCAGCTCTTTTTTCTCTCTGGGAAACTTTGGGAAAAATAATCGTTAGAACAAGAAATTTTCACCAAATATTTATAATATTTGCCATTTCTATATATGGTACAGGTTTTCAAATATTCCAGCGTTTTTAAAATTATTTGCAGCTATTTAAAATTTGAATTTTTTTTTTAGTTGCATTATGAAAAACACACACTTGATCTATGGTAATTTTAGGATAAAAGGGTATCCGCTTATAAATAGGCTTACAAACGCGCTCAAATGAGGTATAACTATTGTATAAGGGTAAAAAAAGTATCCACGGTCCAACCGGTGATTTCCATTTTACTGTCCACGATGGTATTGTGTAACTGGTAGTGATAAGAATTTTAAAAAAAAAATAACAAAAATCGAATGAAGAAAACTATATATAAAATGTGTAGTGGACCAACGAGCTTAGTTTAAAAAAAAAATCATTAATAAAATTATATACAAGTAATTAAGCAAATGGAACACGGAACTCGAATTGTTTCGTCCGTGTTGCTTTTTTACCTACTCCTGATGTAACCATACCGAAGGTATAGTTATACCTCTCATCTCAGTCATTTTTTTGAATATTTGTTTGTTTTTTTATTTTATAAATATTTGTTTTTAATTTGTTGGTTTCTCTTATTATTCTTATTTTTTAACCATAGTCAGTGTTTTGCGGAGTAATTACCCGTAAAAATAATTTTTATACTATGCAAATTATAATAACTGTTTGGTTATTTGTTATACTTGTCAAATTCATTAATTTGATTAATATTTGACTCCGTATACGTTACTGGAGTTTTTATAAAAAAAATTTTTTTCAACTGAAAGATTATACAAATTCTGCTGGTGTGAGATTAAAATCACTAATCTAATGGCGTTATCTCCATTTGAACTACTCCCAACCATTAGTAAAAAAAAATATTAGCATTTAATAGTTTACTACTGTAATAAGTAGTTTTTTTTAGTAGTGAAATATTTAATAACCTGTAGTTAACTATTACAGTAAGTTGTTATAAAATAGTGAAATATAAACTTATCTATGTAGGGTATACCCCACACCATACGGTGCCGCCATTCATAAATTGCTATTTTTAAAACTATTAAAAACAGAAATAGGTAATTAATTTAACTAAAAATATCGGGGGGGGGGCACGTACCCTCAATACCTTCTGAAGTTCTGACTATCGCACTAGTATGAGCTGATATTAAGAGGAAGTCAGTTTGGAGTATAAAATTTCCGTTCCTTAAAAGTTTGGAATTCCGAAGGGTAATACTGTATTTATAAAATATTTTGAAATTAACCCTATCCCACCTCCACTTACATACCTACCATCTTGTTGAATTGAATACGGATAAATGTAAACTATTTAGACATTCAGATCCTCGAAATCAATGAAATTTTGTCCATTATTCGTTGGTGTCTATCAGTACCGTAGCCGATTTTTTTTTTTTTTGGGGGGGGAGGGAGCACTTATCATTTTTATGCAAGCTACTTTTTTGTATTACGATAAAAAATACACCGAAATAACCAAGAAATATCCCCACTTTCCTTCCTCTCTGGCACTGGTATCTACTATTCAGAGGAGGTTAAAATTTCCATTCCCAAAAATTCCGCAATTTCGAGATGTCATTGTACATATATACACAATAGGTGTATAATATTTTGAAATTTACTTTATAACTTGTTATATCGTCATAAATTCAACTTTTCAACAATAAGATAGGTAGGTAAGTGGATAAGGTGTTAGGTTAAGTTAGGCAGGTTCACAGGTTCAGTTCCAGGTGGCGACAGAAATGAGATTCCAATTTTTCGCATTTTTTCTCATATTTCCGTACAAAACTATTTTTATAAACTATTAAGATCTAGTAGTATAACTATTAAAATTTATCTAGTAAACTATTGAAATGTCTTATAGTTTGTCCGAAATTAATGATGGAGAATAGTTAGAGATTAGTAGTTTTCTAGTATTTTTTTTACTAAGGGAAGTAGACTTCATATTATAAGTACCTTGGAGATTACATTACCGTAAAGCGTTTCCCGAGGTTGGTACATATTATGTGTACAATTTGTGTGGCTAAACATTTTTCACATTTGATTTATATACTGTGAAAATTTGTATTTATTCGATACGTATGAAGACCGTCCAAAAGCCGTATTTTGTAAATAAAGCTTTATTACTATTTAATTATTTTGAATCACGTAAAATGTTGATACTTCCGTTCTGTTATGGTTTAATTTGTAATCCATTTTGAGTATTCAGTATTTATTAACTATTATATTAATTCAAATGTTCTCAAAATTGAAAATATAGGTATTTAGGTACCTATGTATTTGATTTTGAGTGGAGCGATAATGTATTAGTTCTACTATGAATAGTGTTTTTTTTTTTTGTTTTCTGTTAACAATTTTTTTCCAATTACTCCAACATTACTCCAATAAAGATGATGAGTGATTTCTCGTATTATTTTGGATTTAGTTTGTTTATTAAAAAAATAATTTTTTTTTTTTAATTTCCGAGTTTTTTTTATAATAAGTGATAAAACTGGAAAAAAAATATATTGGAATGACTTCTATAGTTTTCATTATATTCAAGTTTTTTTTTTTTAATTTAGCTAAAAATAATTCCATATAATTGACATTTTTACAGAATATTGACCTTTTCTAAAGGTGGTAAAATTTTAAAAAAGTTCTGACGATTTTTTAGTTGTTTATCGAATTTTAGAGTTCTTTATGTTCATATTTCGGTTTATGTAGAAAAATGTAATTTTCGAACATGTATGCTTGATAATTTAACATGAAGTTCATTAAAAGTTGTACATAGTGGTAAAGAAAAAATAAAGGAAGGAGAATTTTTTGTTAACTTTGAACACCCCTACCGACCAGATTGATGAACATTTGTATAACTATGCATGGTTTCAATTTACAAACATTTTTATACAAAAAATTTAACCATATTTTTAGAAATATCGTATTGTATCAATATATTTAGTTATTTCTTGTTTTACAAAGAATATTTTTCTAATACAAAATAAGCGGCGAAAAATTCGAATCTAATGCCGTATCTCAGCTGTTCTTTTGTCTATTGTGTGTCCATTGTAACCTTAGATTTCTGTTTTTTGGGGGGAGGGGGGGAGGGTTTGGAGAATGATGAGGTTAATTATAATTTAGATACATTTTCATTTTTATAAGGTTTTTATTTTATCTCGTTCTTTTTTTTTTTTAAATTTTAACGACCGTTGTGAACGATTCAGGTCATGGTCGGTATAGTAAAAAAAATATACAGATAAATACATAATAATAAAATAGTATAAATATATATAAATAATGCAAAAGCGAACAAAAAAAAAAAAAACAAAAATGGCGGTGACAACGTGTTCTTTATATAGTTTCCGATGGATTCCCAGCGGGCTGCTGCCACCGCTGCCGCCGTCGCTAACGGCGAAATCTTTGTTCCGACACTGTTCCGTCGTCATCCATGTACCATTTATATCTATGGCCCAGAGCCTTTTTCTCTCTTTCGCTCTGTCCTTTTCTCCTCGCCCCGTATCTTCGTCAATTTTAAATTCTACCCTGGGACGCACTGGTCTGAAGAAAATGCCCCGTTTCGCGTCCACTGGTGTAGTGGCGGTGTGCCTTTAATACCGTGTCTCCTCCTACTACCTATATATACTATTTCGCTCTTCTTTCGCTACCGATGTCCACCGCCATCGTCCTTCCGTCCTCGTATTTTCATTTTGACGCTGATGGCCCACACATAAAAACTTATTGCCACCCGTTTTCAGTCATGTTTTATCACGTATAAACACTCTGCAAGTTTATTCATGTACGTATATGTTTGTATCCGAAAATCTGTTTTTTTTTTGTCATTTGTTTTCTTATTCTATTGTTTGAAAAGAGTTTTCTTTTATTCCTGAATGATTTGTATACACTTCCAGTCCCGAATAAACTAACAGCCGACAGTTTCCGCTCCTTATAAATATCACACCACTGCAGCCAACTAAATTATTCGCTCATGTTGTCGAAATTCTACATTATTATTATGAATGTTATTTTGTTCAAAAACTTGTTTGATATTTTCCTGGTGGTCGGTTTTTTTTTTTCATATAAATAATAAAATATCATATGCACTGAGTAAAGGAATTGAATTATAGTTTTATGATAGGTGCATTACAATATCATAAACGAGTACATTCATAATCTATACACGAATAAAATAAATAGAAACAATATTCTCTACCAATATAATATTTTATTTTAGTTTTTATGAAT